ATAGACAGCTATGTTAAAGAAATATCAAGGAAAAAGAAAACGTCCCTAGAAAATATTTCAAAACACTTACAAGATTATATTTCTAATATTTTTCTACTAACTTGTCTTTTTTTCCTATACTGCTAATAATTTAACGATTCCACTTTCAAACAAAAACAAAACAAGAATTACGCATCAAATACTGAACTTCTCTATTATGTGATATACCCCGACATTTTATTTTTTTAAATTGTAGAGACAGGGTCTCACTATGGTGCTGGTCTTGAACTCCCGGGTTCAAATTATCCTCCCGCCTCAACTTCCCAAAGTGTTGGGATTATAGGCATGAGCCACTGTGCCTAGCCACCCTGACTTCTATGCTTACTCATTACACGCAAATTTTTTTCCACAGGGTAAAGATTCTTTTTAGCAAAAGTAACCACTCCTCCAAAAACACAGTAACTAAAACTCCAACAAAAATAATCCACATGGTAAATTGTTACCTTAGCAAGTAAAGACACTCCAGTAGGAAAGAGCTCACCTAGTGCTCAGACACTTGTCTCTACTACAATTCTCCTAAAAGGAATCAGGGCTCTCGAGAAATGGGTGATTCCAAAGGTGAGGCAAGGGAGAGATTCAAGAGGATCCTAGAATATCTTATTGTGTCAGAAAATAAGAAAGTGCTCCAAAAAATGATGGAAGCGTGTCACAAGGACATAGCAGCCACTGTGAACGAGTTCCCCCTGTCCAAAGCTGGAACAACCTGAACACCCAAATCAGTACATGAGTGAATTATAAACTGTAAAAAACAAGAAATCATGTGTCGACACCAATAATTAATAAACAAATAAATAAAGGAAAATAAGAGCTCATTCTTATAGCAGAATGCTAAGTGCCAACTGGTAAATGTGGACCAAGCGCTGAGGTTGAGAAGTTATCATTTTGCAACCATAAGAGTAAAGACTGAATCAGACAAGAAGCATTAATGGCTACTAAGTTTAGGGAGAAATTTTGATGAGGAGGAGGATATTTACAGTCTTAAAGTCTCTCCTCAAAAAGTGTTGATTACTGCAAGTGGAATTACAGTGGGAAAACCAGGCAAAATTGTGACTAAGTAATAAAAATTAACAACGCCATAAAGGACAGGTGGACGAAGTGTGCCCCTACATGTGATACTCTGAGAAGGACGTACCACCTATGAAGTATGCTGCCAGCTAAGAATCCATAACTTCAATCTAATCATGACAAAACATCAGACAAATCAAAAATTAGTGTTCTATTTTAAAAATATGAGGTGGGGGGGATACTCTTCAAAAATATCTGTGTCACAAAAGGCTAAAAAAAAAGGCTGTGGAAATGTTTCAGATTAAAAGAAACTATAGAGACATGACAGTTAAGTACTTGACCCAAGATCAGATCCTCCACTGGAAGGGAAAATGATATTGTGGACATTATTAGGTCATCTGACAAAATTGGAATATGAATGGAAAATTAAATAAAATTGTTCTATCAAATTTAAATTTACTAAAGCCAGTAACTGTTCTGGCCGCGCACAGTGACTCACGCCTATAATCCCAACACTTTGGGAGGCCAAGGCAGGAGGATCACTTGAGTTCAGGAGTTCAAGACCAGCCTGGGCAACATAGCAACCTCATCTCTACAAAACATGTAAAAATTAGCTGAGCATGCTGGTACGTGCTTGTAGTTCCAGCTACTCAGGAGG